ACATATAGAGAGATATTTAAAGCCATGAGACAGGATGAAATCACCTAGGGAGTGAGTGTAGATGGAGCCGTTATTTCATCCATAAATAATTCCGTTACCTCCAGAATTTGGAGATGTTTAAAAAACATAATCGCAATTAATTAATGACATTCATTACCTAATAAGTATTCAAATTTACCTGATTCTCTCTCCCTGCCTCCCTCCCTCCCTTCCTCCCTCCCTCCATTCCTCCCTCTCTCCCTCCCTCCCTCCCTCCATTTCTCCCTCCTTCCCTCCCTTCCTCCATTTCTCCCTCCTTCCCTCCCTTCCTCCCTCCCTCCATTCCTCCCTCCCTCCCTCCATCCATTCGTCCCTCCCTCCCTTCCTCCCTCCCTTCCTCCCTCCCTCCCTTCCTCCCTCCCTTCCTCCCTCCCTCCCTTCCTCCCTCCCTTCCTCCCTCCCTCCCTTCCTCCCTCCCTTCCTCCCTCCCTCCCTTCCTCCCTCCCTTCCTCCCTCCCTCCCTTCCTCCCTCCCTTCCTCCCTCCCTCCCTTCCTCCCTCCCTTCCTCCCTCCCTCCCTTCCTCCCTCCCTTCCTCCCTCCCTCCCTTCCTCCCTTCCTTCCTTCCAGTTCATTAGTTAGAATCAGGATCCATATAAAGCCCACATACTGCCTTTGGTTGATATGTTACAAATGTTTTAATCTGTAAGTTCACCCTTCCTTTTTTTCTTGCAATTTATTTGTTGGCAAAACTGGGTTATTTGTCTCGTAGAATTTCCACTATTCCGAATTTTGTTGAGTGCATTGCTGTAGTGATGTTTAACTTGTTCCTCTGTTCCCTCTATTTCCTGTATCAGATCAGGTTCAGGTCCAATTTTGGGGAAATAAATACTTCATAGGTGGTGGTGTGTACTTCTTATTATAGTCAATCAAGAAGCACTTTGGTTCTTTCTCTTTTTAGACATTCATATAAAATATAGGTTTAGGTTTTGCCACTTTGGTCCACCTAATTTAAAACTCCATCCCCATCATGTTATGACTTTTTGGTTTTAGCAACTGTTGATGCTGATTTCCTGAATCTGTTATTTCAGTAGGGGTGGTTAAATGTTGATACTGAAAGTCTTTTATTCCTTCTTAATTTAATTAGCTGAAATTCTTCTAAAACAAGAACTTTACCTCACTGACTATTTGGGTACCTTGAGGAACACTTTGTACAGGAAAGGTAGGATAAATGCTTAGAATTCTCCAAGCTTGACCAGACTGAGCCCCTTCATTATAGTTCCTGATTCCTTTAGACAGGATCCTAAGTTGCCTTTCATAGCTTCCTTGTTTTCTCAGTATGACAAGATGTTCCAGGTTTATCTTGTCCCTTTCCTTATTCAAACTTGGATTACCCATTTCTCTAAGGAGTCCCATACCCTCACACATAACCAACCAATATGTAATGTGGGATGGTTAGTGAGTGCACAGGTTTTGTGCCCTGTGATCTCATGATGATCTTTCCCCCCTATATCTTTTGTTCTATTCTTATGTGTCCTGGGATAATAAAATAGAATGAAAATACTTGAAAAATGCAACATATTAATTTATATTTGAATTGTACAGTTTTGAGTGACTTGATCTATTCATTAAGTACTGTTACCTTATAACATTTTTTACTTTAGAAACTCAAAAGTGAATTTAGTGTCTCAAACCCTAATTCCTGAGTATACGTAATCTCAACCATGGAGATTATCACAAAGTCAGAATGGGGTTGGTTTTTAAATGTGCTGTGCAGTTGTACTCTGGTTACTGCTTTCCACTGATCTCCTTTTCCCATTAGCTTTTCCTTGAACTTTATAAGTATGAGCCAAAGCATAATTCTTAATAAGTAGGCAGGCAGAATTATGGTAATTATTGAATTCTCATTTTAAGTGTTTTACACACACTCCCCCAAACATACATATATACAGAGAAAGACTATCTTTCATTGTGAGATCATCCAGCCTCCAAACAGTTTAAAGTCAGAATTCTGGATCCTCTTGTAATATTTTCTCCATGGCTTATGGGAACCAAATCCTTTGTGAAACCATTAGTTTTGGAAGTAAATACGTAATAGATACTAAAGGGCCTTTCGCATAATATCTTTCTAGGAGACTAAATTTTACCTGCTAGTCTAACTCTAGTTTTTCAGTTGTTTTGTTTTACCACTTGTCCCCAACTTCAGTCTCTCTGAGATAAAATATGTGTAGGGACGATACAGGAAAAAGAACAATAGACAAGCGATTATGGTGTAACCACCGTGCTTTAGACAAATAGTGTACGCATGTGTACCTCCTGCCTATGCTGGGCTGCTCTGACAATGCCTGAGGTTGTGTTAATTCTTTGAGGATGGTTGGGGCAGATGTTTCTAAAAATTATTGGATTTGCCAGACATATTTAATGAAATTGAATTGATTTCAGTTATGTCAAACTATTTCTTTCATGACTTATTAGTAAATTCTCTATTTTTTGAATGATCTACTTGGAAGAGGTTATGACGGACTTATGTGGCAATGTAGAAGTGCAGAGAGTAGCTCTGATTTTCTAATTTAATGCCCTAGCTGTAGCTTTACTCAGCTTAGGGAATCTTTTTGGAGACTGCTGGCCTAGCCAATTGAGCTGGTTTTTTTTTTTTTTACTACCAAAGAAAAGGAGTCTTGTTTGTTTCTAAACTTCTCATAGAAACCATGAATGAGCAATCAAATGAGTGAAGGAATGAATCTGATAAGAGTCAAAACAGCAAAAATTCAAAGAATATTCGTATGTTAAATATATTCAGAGACTGGGAGCCGGGTTTTTTAAAAATGCCTTTAAAAGGCACAGTTTTGCTCAGAAAAATTAACCATCCTTTCTAAGTTTTTCTGTTACTATATTTTCACTATTTGTTCAAAACTTTGAGTATATATTCTTAGTCTTTATTCTGATTGTGAACATCTTTGTAATATTTTACTTTGGTTTTCTGAGTTGATATAATATTAATTTTCTGGGGATGGTTATGTTAATTTCAACTTACGGCATTAAAATATTTTGGGAAAGATTTATTTTAATAACTTTTTCTACCTCGTGTAAGATGAAGATCGTTCATTAAGCAGTGTCTTTTGTGATCTAATGAGAACATTAATCTGGTTTGTTGAAGGTAGGCGTTTATTTTGACACCTTTAAGTTAAACTCAGAAGAATGTTAGACTTATCAAATATAAACACGTGGAGAAACTGCCAAAGAAGCTGGCTTACTTCATGCAGGTCTTTGCTCAAATGTTGCTTCCTCTGAGAGGCACCCTCTAACCAACCTATTGGTAAACTAGCTTGGTACTCTCTCTGTTACTGTCTTGTTGTCTTAACCAGTTTTTCATTTTCTACATATTTTTAATTGCACTTATCACTGGTAGACTTTTGATTGTGTTCACTTCCACGTCCTTGGCACATAGAACAGTGCCTGGCACTGTGAAGATACTCCAAAACGATTTGTTGAATGAGTAAGTTGTTCATCATCTGTCACCCAACTAGGCCTCATGAAGGTACTTGGCATGATGTGAGCCTTCCAGCATTTGTTTGAAAGAATGAAAGGAATGTACTACAAATAGTGATCAAATCCTTATTTATATTTATATATACGCATATATGATCATTTAAATTATATGTTTAAATTGCACAAAGATTTCTCATCCAGAAATAGATTATTAAAAAGGTGTTCCAAGTAACATCTACAACCTACAAAATCTGTTGTTGTCTTTTTTGCTAATGTAGATGAGTAGATTTACATACAGCATTGCAGTTTTTTTAAGTGACTCAACACAAGGTGTATATAGTGCCCATAGACATCAAAGAGTGCTGTCATGTGACTCTCATGTGACAAAATCATTAAATGGATTAGTATCTGGATTCTTTTCTCCTATTTGCTCATTTTTATTGCTAGTGTACATGTCCGTCAGTCTGTATGCTTTATATTCTGATTTCAGGCCTCAAAATGGAGAATTAAGGCTTTATATTTTTATGAGAACATTTTATGAACTCTCACACTTAATTTTGTTTTGTTTTGTTTTTTCATTTTGTTTTTCATTCTTGTGGTTTCATTTGGGAGCACAGTGGTATACTTTGTGTTGAGTTCTTTGATCATTGCCTAACATACTAATTGCTCCTGTATGATGAACCCTTATGAAGCAGTGTGGTACTCTGGTATTTAGGGCCTTTGGGAGACAGGGGATGAAAATGTAGGTCAGAAGAGTAAAAAGTGGATATGGTATTAATTTTGAGCACCTTGAAGAGCTCAGGGCCAACATGTCATTGCTGGAGTGATTATGTCCATAAGGTAGTCTGTGTATCAGCAAAATAAAGATCCTTTTTCAGACTATGTGGTGAGTGTCCTATGCTGTCAGATTTTGAATGTGTAGTTTTTTCCTTAGGCCAACATGTCATTGCTGGAGTGATTATGTCCATAAGGTAGTCTGTGTATCAGCAAAATAAAAATCCTTTTTCAGACTATGTGGTGAGTGTCCTATGCTGTCAGATTTTGAATGTGTAGTTTTTTCCTTAGAAAAAAAAATCTGTTCTTTCCTTATTTCCCCCAGTGATTTAGCAGAGATTTTCTATCTATTTC